GTGCTGGAATCAGCTCCAATCAGCTCCACTGTGGGGAGAGTGTTTGCCAAGGACTTGGATGAAGGGATCAATGCAGAGATGAAGTACACTATTGTGGATGGAGATGGTGCAGATACTTTTGATATTAATACAGACCCAAATTTCCAAGTTGGCATCATAACTGTGAAGAAGGTAATCCAATTTCCTTTTCCAAACCATTTTCAAGTGTACTTTTCATGTGAAATGCTAGTGAAGGGAGGTTATATATCAGGATATATTTTGTTTTAAGTCCTCTGATAAAAGTCTCTTTCCTGTACTAGTGAGATGACTCAGCAGGTAAAAGTAATTTCCACAAAAGTCTGACAACCTAGAACCCACCTTACTAGAAGAGTGTCAGCTCCCAGGAGCTTTCCTCTTAACCTCCACACTGCAACATGTCATGGGTACAGCCACACTCAGACACATCATATCACACACACACACACACACACACACACACACACACACACACACACACACTTTAAAAATAACTCTGCCTCATTAGCTTAGTAAATGCCTCTTATTGCTTGGACTTACATGTAAGGAAACTGGCTGTGGCATTATTTTATAAAAAGGGGTCATTGAAAATATAATGCAAATAAGCCACCTCTACTTAGCCACTTAAACTTCTATAGCTTGATGCTCTAATATTGTTAATGACTTAATCAATACTTGAATCCCCATATTTACATCAGTTTACCATAAATAGCAAAGCAAGATATAATGTTATTATGAATCAATAAATAAAACATAGCACTTTTTAATTGCTTCTTGAAGCCCCATAAATGCAAATGAAACTTGAGAAAATTTTATCAAACTGAAGTTCTTTGTTCCATCTCAAAGCGTCAAGTTCCCTAAGGGGAAATGTTCATTCTCTATGTGCCAAAAAGCACATATAGATCAATTCAATGAATGGAACATAAATTTTTCCTATTTTAAATTTCTTTTATTTTTGTGCAACATATGTATGTACATGGGACATGCGTTTATGCACATGCACATTTGTGAAGATACATGTAGAGGAAAGAGGTTGACTAATGAGCCCTGGAAATCCTCCTATCTTTGCTTCCTTAGCAGTGTGGTAGAGACATACAATTGGCCTGGCTTTTACATGGGTGCATGGGAACCAACTCAGGCCTTCATGCTTGTGTGGCAAGTACTGTTTTAGCTGAGCCATCTCCTAACACAGACTGAACTTTTTTTTTTCGTATCATTTTTTATTTTGATTTTAAATAGCTTGTTTTACATGTCAATCCCAGTTCCCTCTCCCTCCCCTCCTCCCGCACTCCCCTTCCCCCCCCCACCCTCCCACCCTATTGCCAAATCCTTCCATATAGGGGATATCTAGAGTCTGTCATTTCACTCTGGGTAGGGTCCAGGCACTCCCCTAAGAGTAAAGGCTGAGAGAGCATCCCTCTTTGTGCTATAGGCACACGATGACTGTTTGTATTCCAGGGATAGACACTGATCCACAGCTCAGGGCCCCATAGGTTGCCCAGGCCTCCTCACTGACTCTCACATTCGAGGGTCCAGATCAGTCCCATGCTGGCCTCCCCACTGTCGGTCTGGGGTCCAATAGCTCTCCCCTGTTCAGATCAACTGTCTCTGCTGGTTTTGCCAGCCCATTCTTTGCCAATTTGCTCATCACTCCTCTCTCTCTGTCACTGGGTTCCTTGGGTTCAGTTCAGTGATTAATTGTGTGTTTGCCTCTGCTTCCATCAGTCACAGGATGAAGGCTCCCGGATGGTTATAGACATCAAGTTCATTATCAAGAATGGGCATTCGAGGTGGTCTCTCCACTATTGCTTAGCTTGCCAATTGGTGTTATCCCTTTAGATCACTCGAGGTCACTCTGGTGCCTGATCTGTCTTCTATCCTATGATTCCCTCTTCCCCCTATTCTACCCCTACCCACTCAACTTCCTGTTCCCCCATGACCAACTGAACTTTTTAAAAACTAAATTTATGACCTAAGGAGCTGGATCAGTGGATAAAACATGAAGACCAGAGTTTCCCAGAACCACCTTAAAAAGTGGGCAGTTGTGGCAGCCTATGTTTAATCCCACCACAGGATTTTAAAAAGACACAAGATCCTGGGGTCCAGGTTCAGTGAGAGACCCTGCCCCACTAAATATAGAGGAATCAAAAACACATGTTGTCAACTTTGGGCCTACATGCACATAAACTTGCCTACACATATGCATGCATACTACACATAGAAATAAATTGAATCTATACCTTACAAATGAATATCTAATTTAAAACATTAATTTATAAGACATTGGTTTGTTTTCTAAACAATCTCATCCTGCTGTCTTCCTGGTGACCTTGCCCAAGCAGCTGCTCACAGCATGTGCACACGGTAAGACTCCTCAATCTACCCACCACCACTCCCCAGGACCCTTCCCAAGCAGCCATGCACATAGTCACTGGTTTCTCTGCCCTGCCACCCACCCCAGAGACTTTCCCTGAACAGCCACACACTCATCTTGTCTGCAGTAAGATCTCCTTAACCCTACTCAGAGACCTTATCCAAGCTGCCACACAGGTGACCTCTGGTAGTAAGCTCCCTTGCCCTCAATACTACCATCTACCTGCCTGGAACATTACCCAAACAGCAGCATGTAAGACCCCATGACCTTTGGTAGTCAATAAACTAGATCACTTTCTACCTCTTTACTCAAAAATCAACACTAACTGTCCAAAGGCCTGAACTTCAGGAACCTCCTACCTGGTCCAAAACCAGCCAAAATACAGCACAGCAAGTGAACAGACATACGCCAGATTCCTCCAACCAAAATCTTCATGGACAGCACATAATGCCTTGAAACAGTATAAAATACTAAGACTAACTTATGAATTCTCAAATACATTTATATAATTGAAGCATTATAATTTATTATTTTTGAAAATTAATAATATATGTTAATTTTATAGCGTGACCAAAATAATACCAATTTGTTGCATGAGAAAGGGTTAAAAACATCTTCCTAGAATATATTTTGTTTCAACTATCGATAAACCACTTGCCAACAGAAAATGCCTCAAGTTTTAAATAATTATTTTTTTCTTGAATGAAAAGTCACCTTTTGAAAAATTTAATCATAAAATGGAGCCATTAGGATACTTCATACTTAAATTAAACTTTACTTGAAAAACATTATAAGTGATACAGTAGTGACAAATTATTATTATATAGGTCAAATATCATTACAAGCATTCACTTTTAAAACAATATATTTATTAATGATACAATCTAAGTAAACTAAAAATGTCTTTTTTCCACCTCCCTTATCTGGAAAAGATTAGATATTGCAAACCAGAACCCTGTCTCTCAATGTCATTATCCAAACAGTATCCATGTTCAATCAAAACCTACATAAATTTTTCTTAGGCTTTTTAAATTCATTTTCTGAACATATGAGCTGTCAGATAATATAATTAAGAGCAAGACCAATAAGTTTGGTAGGTGGACTGGTCACATATAATAAACATTTTAAAGAAACAACTCCCAGATGTCTGATCTACACCCATCATCTTCCTTTGTCATTAATAATCTCATATAAAATTGAAACAAAAGTTTTGCTTTTGATTTATTTCCCTTAGGTCTATTATTTGTCTAAAAAGCACATATTTCTTCAAAAAGAAAAATAAAGCTGAGTTGAAAGAATTGGGTCTTCATACAACCATGGTGATTGCTATACAGGACATGTGTCATTTTAGCTTTTAAGTAATCAGTCAATTGATTTTCAGTCTCTTAAATGCTTGAAATATGCCTTGAAATATGTAATTTTCAGAGTGTTCTTTGTTCTATAGTAGCATGATATTGTGCCATTTTCTAGTCTTCAGCTTAGCTTATCTACCAGCAAAAATAATTAATTGTAGAGTCCATTGTCCTCTTAGGCAGGTCACAAAACATATAAATCCTATATTTATCTAATTCTAATATGCCATGAATTATGATTCTCATCATTATTTTATATAGCCTTTAAAAAGTTCCAACTTTATGTGATCCAGTGCTGTACTTGTAACTATTTAAAGAGCACTTCAACGCACAGTTGGATATATTTGCCTCGCCTATATCAGGTTCTCTCCCTGCTGGTGCTTCAGTACCCTTCATTTTCAAGAGCAGTAAACCCCAGTGCCTGCAGTATCAAGCCTGTGCAAATCTAGACTCACATGCAGCACGAATGCCTGTCACTGCATACGGCTTGCATGGGCACTGACAACAGAGCTTATCATCTGCTAAGCACCTGGCAATTGAGATGTAGCATCAATTAGAAAAGAAAAACTGTACCCCACAAGTATAAACGCAATGAGAACCTACACACCAGAAAAAGATAACATCAAATGCAACTTGTTGTCTTCCCCCCTAGCCGCCTGGGTCCTGATGCAGTTTCAGCCCTCAAATAACACACAGGACACTATATTAATTATAACCTGTTGGCCATTTGTTATTGTTTCTCATTGGTTAACTTGACTTCATTATTAATGCATAATCACCAATATATATTTTTATAAGGACTTATCTTTCTGAGAACGCAGACTTGTGTCCCCTTTTTCCGGGAATCACATGGCAACGACTCCCTTCACTACATTTCTCAGAATCCTCCTACACTCTAGTCCCACCTATCTTGTTTTCCTATTGGCCAACAGTGCTTTATTTACATGTACATGGGATTTTTCCATCATCACCTCTTTTCTGTCTAAATAAAAAGAAAGGTTTTAACTTTAACATAGTCAAATTGTATATAACAGAACAGTTATCAAGTAACTATATTTACAATATTTAGTCCATTAACATTTAGTAAGATTTAAAGAAAATATCATCTAGCCTATCTTTGGGAGTCTAAACTCTTATATGTAGCTTATCTTTTATCATAACTAAGGAAAACTATAATTACAACTATCTGTCTTTAACTCCATCAAAGACCAAAGAAGGATAATATATAAACACTAGAATTGACAGAGACATCTCGATACCTGAACAGTTACCCAAAGTTCCTCCGTAACATTGGGGCATCCATCTTCAGCCCATAGGGCACAATGTGTCTGGAAGACTTCTCAGCAAAGCAGGAAATTTTAAACTGTCTATCTGTATTAGCAGTCTGTCAGTCATTGTGTGTGTGTCCTGTAGAAAGTCTGGCAGACTCTTCCATGAAGCAGGAACCCTGAAGGACTGTCCAAATTTAGAAGTCACTTTTCGGTGGGTTCTGCACATTCAGATTATACAGGAACAGTCAAACAGTCTAGGCAAGAGTAGCTTCTTAATCCAGCGCCTTAGACCGCTCAGCCACACTACCTTGAGCCTTGGGCAGTAGATCAGTATTTATCCTGGGTATACAAATGGACTTTGGACTCCCATCCAACAATGTGAGATGCACTCTCACCCTGAACTCTTGGGGAAGGGTCTAGCCCCTGCCCTGGATGAAATGACAGACTACGTACACCCCCATGGAGGGCCTCACCCTCCCTGGGGAAACGAGGGGATATTGGGGGGGTTGGGGGAGGGCACGGGAGGAGGGGAGGGAAACGGAGAGGAACCTGAACTGACTTGTGAAGCAACCTTGTTTCTAATTTAAATTTAAATTTAAAAATAAAAATAAAAAAGTATATCACCATAAAATATATAGAAATGAACAAGTAAAAAAAAAAGAGTAGCTTCTTGTCCAAATGGATAATCTTCCCATGTTGAAAGCAAACTCCATAATGAGTTTCTTTGATGCCCATCTTCCTCTCAGACATAGTTATGTGCAAGGAGCAGACATTTCTCATTGTCAAGAAAAACCCTAAGCCATTTTAAATGTCATTTTCTGAAGGTCTTTGAAAGGTTTGAAGACTATCTTAAATACATCTCTGTATATCTAGAAAATCTAACTTACCTATGTTTTGACTATTATATGTAACTATCTATAATCTGTATTTAATTACTCATTAAATTTTAATGAGTTATACAAACACAATACCTAAATAGGAGGAGAAATATACATATCACAAAATTGACCTTAAAATTGTATCAATAAATGAAAAACCATACCAATAAAAGTATTTATTTTTATATCATATTCCCTTTTTCCCTTTAGAAAGAGATTGACTGTGATCATTACCATTTATAAACAATCCCATTTAAACAAAAACAAAAATTTATGAACAATATTTGGGAAGTTGGGCATAGTTCACTTCAAACTGCTTCCTGCTGGATAGGGATGCTGTCCATACCATGGGGATCATGACAAAACTTAGAAACCTGGCCACGTCCTTGTTTTTGTAGTCCTTAAGGCTGCATCATCTCAGCTGTTTTAGATGCTGGATCACCTGGGCCACAGCTTCTGGGGGTCTTGGTTTATCAAACCACAGAAGCCTGGAAGGAATCCACAGCTTTCCATTTTCTGTGGAAACATAAACAAAAACTCTTTTTCCAAGTAACCTGTCCTTATATTTAAATTTAGAAGTCAAAGCATTTTCAAAATATATAAGTTGGATTAATTTAGCGCATTTATAATCAAGTGTTCATTCTTTTTATTTTTATTTTAAATAGCTTGTTTTACATGTCAATCCCAGTTCCCTCTCCCTCCCATCCTCCTGCATCCCCCACCATCCCCCCCATCCTCCCACTCTATTGCCAATTCCTTCCGCATAGGGGATATCTAGAGTCTATCATTTCACTCAGGGTAGGGTCCAGGCACTTCCCTAAGAGTCCAGTCAGAGAGAGCAACCCTCTTTGTGTTATGGACACACGATGTCTGTTAGTATTCGAGGGATAAACACTGATCCACTGCTCAGGACCCCATAGATAGCCCAGGCCTCCTCATTGACTCTCACATTCAGGGGGTCTGGATCGGTCCCATGCTGTCCTCCCAGTGTCGGTCTGGGGTCCAAGAGCTCTCCCCTGTTCGGATCAGCTGTCTCTGCTGGTTTTGCCAGCCCATTCTTTGCCAATTTGCTCTTTGCTCCTCTCTCTCTGTCACTAGGTTCCTTGGGTTCTGTTCAGTATTTAACTGTGGGGGTTTGCCTCTGCTTCCATCAGTCACTGGATGAAGGGTCCAGGATGCTTATAGACATCAAGTTCACTATCAGGAATGGGCATTCGAGGTGGTCTCTACACTCTTGCTTAGCTTGCCAATTGGTGTCATCTGTTTAGATCACTAGAGGTCACAATGGTGCCTGATCTGTCTTCTAACCTATGATTCCCTCTTCCCCCTATCCTATCTCCCCAGTAGACCTTCCTGTTCCTCCACGTCCTACTCTCTCTTCCACTTCTCCCCCTCTCTATTTCCCAGGTCCCCCTCCCCACCACCCCTTGCCATGTTCCCCATCTGTTCAGAGGATCATGTCTCATTTCTCTTCTCTTGAGTACCATGCATATCTTTTAGGTTCTTTCCTGTTTCCCAGACTCTCTGTCAGTGGAAGTGCAGACTGGCACTCTCCTGATCCATGTCTAAAATCCATATATGAGTGAGTACATACCATGTTTGTCTTTTTGTGACTGGGTTGCCTCACTCAGGATGGTTTCTTCCAGTGCTATCCATTTACCTGCAAATTTCAAGATTCCATTGGTTTTTTTTTTTTTGCTGAGTAATACTCCATTGTGAAAATGTACCACATTTTCTCTATCCACTGTTCAGTTGAGGGGCATCTAGGTTGCTTCCAGGTTCTGGCTACCAAAGGATCCAATTAAAAGGTGGGGTACAGAACTAAACAGAGAATTCTCAATAGAGGAGGCTAAAATGGCCAAGAGACACTTAAGAAAGTGCTCAACATCCTTAGCCATCAGGGAAATGCAAATCAAAACAACTTTGAGATACCATCTTACTCCTGTCAGAATGGCTAAAATCAAAAACACCGAAGACAATTTATGCTGGAGATGATGTGGAGAGAGTGCCAACTCGTACAGCCACTTTGGAAAGCAGTATGGAGATTCCTCAGGAAAATGGGAATCAATCTACCACAAGACCCAGCAATTCCACTCTTAGGCATATATCCAAAGGAGGCGAATTCATACAACAAGGGCATCTGCTCCACTATGTTCATAGCAGTATTATTTGTAATAGCCAGAACCTGGAAGTGTTCATTCTTTAGCAATCAAAAAACTGAAAAACACAATAGCATACAGTATCCAGACTCTCTGTGTATTTTCCATCTTTATGTGGCTTATTTATTCATCTATTATTATTATTACTCTATTTCTTTTACTTTTATTTATTTATTTCTCTGAGACAGGGTTTCTCTGGAAATGTACCTGTCTCTGCCTCTGGAGCATATCCTACCTGCATGCACCACCACAACCTGCTTTTTTAATTCTTTTACCACTATCCTGTTTCTTTTTTCTCTCAAGACTACAAATATTTTTAAACACACTGTAAACATTTAGAGGTTTTTCTTCATTTGAATCTGACTTTACCATAAATCTTTATGTTTTTTTTTTTTTTTTGGTCATGTGTCTTATCTGCTAAAAACCACGACTGTTTAAACGGCTCTTTCCAAGATGGAAAGCTTAAGTTCACTGCCAGAACTGGCCATAAAGTCTCTGCTTGTCTCTAGCAAAACAGAGCCCACCTGAGAAAATGCTGCTACCAAGAAGCCATGCTTCTCTCTGTTCTTTTGTTTCTAAAATCCCTTTTAAGCTTTTGTCTTTTTACATGGAAATTCATGATCTCACTCCTGACACCATATGTAACCATATGTTGTCTTCCCCACCAGCCGCCTGGGCCCTGTTGCAGTTTCAGCCCCCAAATAACACACAGGACACTATATTAATTATCAGCTGTTGGCCATTTGTTATTGTTTCTTGTTGCCTGTCTCTGACTTCATTATTGACCCATAATCACCAATATATATTTTTATAAAGACTTATTTTCCCGAGATCACAGACTTGCATCCCCTTTTCCCTGGAATCACATGGTGACAGCTCCCTTCATTACATTTCCCAGAATCCTCCTAGACTCCTAGTCCCACCTATCTTGCTTCCCTATTGGCCAACAGTGCTTTATTTACATATACACAGGATTTCCCTGTCAATCAAACTCTTATATACCATCATATAAATGCTAACACATAGAAAGAAGGCTTGTAGCACTACTTAATGAATTATACTTTTTTACTACATTCTGGGTCTTTGACCTTGCTACACATTGGGGAATAAAAACCAACTGAGTCTTTGCTTTTGGACCTCACATCTGAAAAAAGAATATACACTGAAATTTTGTAATAAAAAAGACCATCCCCACATGGGTGCTATGAACAGAATGTGGGTCATCTGAAAGGCAACAATCACTCTTAACCACTGAACCATCTCTCTAGTCTCCCAATTTTATATTTCATAATATGAAATAAGAGACTAAACAGATTTCTTACACTGAGCCCTGGTCAAAGAATTTTGGGTCATTTGTGCCAGCATCTTCTGAACTTTCTGCATTCAAAGTTAGATGTTGGACAAGATTTTAAAGTGAAGTTTGAAAGGGAACATCTATGATAAACTAAATAAACAAAGGTTGATACGACATAGTGTGCCAAGAATACTTGTGAGGCATGTAACATATTTCCTTAGAAAGAATCACTGTTGCTTTGAAGTCAAGAAAAAAAATCTATTAACTTTTAGCTAGCATACAAAATGATCTGAAGAAATTTTTTTAATTTTATCCTACTCATACTCACTCGCCCATCCTTCCCCATTCCTCCTTCACTCTCACTAATCCCATTTCTCCCCCAAAATAGTTCACCTCAAAAATAAAAATTTTAAGAAGAAAATGGAAAATCAAAAGCCTAATCACATGGACATCCTAGGACAGAACACACTCCATCTTAATGCTTGACATCTTTCCAAGAGAGAAACACCCCTGAACAGAAGGCCACCAGCAGGCATCTTGTCCACCTGGAACAGAAGGGGTCTCTGGAAACAAAACTTTGTTTTTTTAAATTAGGTGGACAAAGGAGGGTCCTCAGACTTCCTCTGCAGACCATACTGAGCAAAATCTAACTAGTGAAAACTGAGCTTGCCAGACATCTTCCTTCCCTTTTACCTATGATGGAATCTGATGCTATTACCAAGAACTTCAGAACAAGACCAGATGTCCTGGTTTTTACTTTTATTTTCACTGTTTCAATGAATTTGGGAGTTGTCAACTAATCACCAGGATTAGACATTCATGCTACCAGCTGACCATTTTTCTTCTCATTGCCTTTCAGCCCCTGAGTTTTGAAAGCAAGAAAAGCTACACTCTGAAGGTGGAAGGAGCCAATCCTCACCTGGAGATGCGTTTTCTGAACCTTGGCCCATTTCAGGACACGACAACAGTGCACATCAGTGTGGAGGATGTGGATGAACCCCCTGTGTTTGAACCTAGCTTTTATTTTGTGGAGGTGCCTGAGGATGTGACAATTGGAACCACCATACAGATCATTTCC